CAACCACAAATACCAATGTACAGTGAAGTGTGTAAGGAAGACACAAACTTCATCACCACACAATTATGCACTATACTTTATGCTGATTTGTCAACAAAATCTCAATTAAAGTACATTTAGTGTTTTTGACTGTACTGTATTTACGTCAGTACGTGTTCTTTTGTGTAAAAAATACAGTTCTGTATAAATTGTTCATAAAATATTGTAAAATTAACACACATAATTGATATGTCAACACAAAAAGCTAGCTAAAAACATACATTTGTTCCAAATTGAAAAGTATTTTTCTATTTTTGCATCTGAGCATGAACGTATTGATAATTATAAAATTAAAAAAATATACAAATATGTAGCGCCTGATTGTGTCTGTCATTAATACACATCTGATTCCTTTTCTCAGTTTGCACTATTTTCTTGGATTATAGTTTAGAGATCTTTATTTGAACCCACACAGGGAAACAAACTCTGCAGATTTATCTTGCCTTCATGTAATCCCATCTTTTTAACACATGATGGCAGCACAAACCTATGCTGCAACACTAAACTGCCAGATTAATCTAATCTCTGTATAATCCTGCCAACGTCTTTTGATGAACTGGTAACACCTGTCCTGTTGAACTACGCATATAAATAAACTTTACAGTAAGTTATTAAATGATCGGAGTTTTTTTGTTTGTTTGTTTGTTTATTTGCGTGTGTTTCTTATGAACATACGACTTTAAAAACATGTTGTTGTTTTTTTTCAGAGAGACATCCAGCATTGTGAGTTTAAATGGGAGTGTTATCTTGGAGCTGTAAAAGTGACAGCTGGCTCCAGCAGCTCAGCGAGCGAAGAGCTCCTTTCATTTCCCTGCTGTCAACGTCACAGATAGACGTCTTTCAAAAGCTTCTTCAGGCGGTAAGTGGTTATTAACACAGCTTTTATCTTTTCTATTTTTCTTTTTGTCATCCTGATAATGGCATAATGTTCAGATAACGCCCGCCAGAAATGTACAGTAATAGTTTGCGGAATAGAGGCAGTTAAAGCTAAAAGCAGACGCTAAGAGTACAAGCGTGTCCGTCCGTTGCTAAGCATTCCGCAGTCAGTCATTCAGTTCAACAGCTTCATGAAGTTATTTCGGTCAATTAAAAAAAAAAAACCCCTTTCTTTAACTGATAACCAGTTTCATTAACCTCTGCTAAAATCCCGTCTGTTATAAATGTACACCTGCTTTGGTGATGCTAGCATGCAAGCTACTGTGACGTTTATAAGATGCTTAAATGCAGTTTGAGAAATCATAAGACAAGTTTCCGTCTCCGCAGCGAAGGAATTAAGTGAATAATATTCTCAGATAAAATTGAACACTTTTAAAACACAGGGATGTTTTACTTAGGAAGACACTACAACCGTTTCATAATTTAGATACTGGAGTTTTTTGTTTCTGGCATAAAATGATTGTAGCTCAGATGAGCTAGTGATGTGATTTCCGTAGGATCCGGATCAATTGGCTCATTGTTCTTTCGGCTACAAGTTGACTCTTTGCTTACTATTAAACATATAGTAATAAGTATCTAATAATAATAATACTAATTTAAGTATTATTTGACCCTAAATAATACTTTAAGCTTAAAATATTAAGCTTAAAATTTAATATTATTAATTAACTAATAATAAGCAAATTATTACAGTCTATTAGTAGTAACTAATAATAAACAAAGTATTAGAATGTTAAAGTACTATAGTAGTAATCAGTTAAATATTACTGACTCAAATTTAGTATGATTTAAGTTTATTATTCAATATGTTAGAATATCACTAAAAAGTATATTTAAGTAAAGCAATTTTAAAAAGTAACAATTTCCATAAATTTATTATACACAAGTTATTTTGTTCATGTGATCACGGTGGCTCACAGATAATAAAAGTCTAAAATTGAGATTTTTTAGAAAATTCAAACATCACGTGACCAATAATATAGGATTTTAAATAAATAAATATTTATGAATTATATATGCACTATCCACAGAGTGATATATTTTTGTTAATTTTGATTTTTTTGGTTTAGGTCTAATACAAAAAAAAATGAGATAATTGATTAAGCCTATGTTTATGTTTTAAAATACTTTTAACACATTTACTCTGTATGGTTTAGCACTGCAATTGAATTGCAATTGGTGAAGGACCCTTTTTGATAAAGAGCAGTTTTATTTCACAGCCGTGTTATTTTTGTATTTTTTAAGGCTCTGACTGATTTATTATCAGAAGGCAATATATCTTCTAGAAGGGTTTTGCTGTCATTGTACTAAAAATCACAAATTATTCTCATAAAAGTCCATATTTCCCATTCCTACTTTTACTACGACCAAACATAATCTGAACTTACACTTATATTTACAATAACTGCAACTTTATTATTACAACTTGTACAGCTGTCAGTTCTTTAAGATCCTAAATAAGTCCAAACTTGAACTTTAAAAGACTCATTATAATTTTGAAGATGTTTATTGTTAATAAATGTAGTTAGCTATGAGAAGTAAGCGGTCTTAAAGCCCATTTCTGTGATGGACCACAAGCAGCAGCTAATATTGCTTATGCTTTGGGCCGGCTCTGATATCGTAATGCTGAGTAGCTGGCATTGCATTACAAGCTATCACCACTATGGAATACTATACCTGTATCTTTCAGCTTTTTCTTGCGTATTTATGATTATATTGGGACTCCTGAAATCCTAAACTGTCATTATTGAAATGTCAGTACAAAAATAGCACAAAGCTTTAATAAGAATACATCACACTTCCTTTATCCTCAGTGGGTTGCATTTAAAAGACTAAGATGTAAAACAATGTTGGCCTGCCATCTGTGTTATTTGACTACATAATGACTTTTTCTTTCTGTAAAGCTTAGCTCATTTGTTTAAGCCAACAGGAACAAGAACATTAGATATATACAAGTAAATAAGATATTATCTTTTTATCTGGTTGCCTAATTAATCGGTTTACTGGTGATTCATGTGTTTCTTTTTCTGTAAGATGCATATTTGGTGAGTGTGGGATGAGAGAGAATGGTCTCTAGAGTGCGTCAGCGCTAAGATCGCCCTGCAGCATGTCAGAGCAGCATGCGTGGTTGCACCAGATCAGCCGGCTCTGGGTGTCACGTGACGCAGTGGTGAGGTGGCTCTGTCATGAGGTCTCGCTTGGCCATTGGCTGCATTTTTCAGCAGAGTACTGATTGCACACATTTATGAGGTCATGCAGACCTCTGGGTACAAGTTGAGGTCAATTCTTTTAGTGGGACCAGGTTTATTTTTATATAAATATATTTCTGGAAACTTAAATGTATACCCTTAAGCTCTTACATGTTGTAATTTGAATGAGTTTTAAGATTAGATTCATGTACCTTCAAGGGAGGTTAAAATATGGTTTTCTTGTTTTTACATTCTTCTTAAAGTTGTGCACCTGCAGTTTATCCTGCCGCACCTCTGGTATTTGTTCGTTTAAACAGGTATGTTCCTGCAAGGAAAAAACAAAACAAGAAGAGCAGGATTGGCTTGTCAAGCAGCAGAGTTTAGCTGACAGCTAAAATTTTATTCAAATTCCTAAAATTAGGTCAGCAAAACAAAGTTAAAGCAAGTTAAAGCACTGGTCTTGCTGGTTGCGATTGGCAGTGCAATAAAATGAGCCAAGAACAGAGCTTTGAGAAATACAATTTAAAAAAATAAATTAATAAATTTTTGTTTATGATGATTTGTAACCTCCAAGTGACCCATTGTTTTTTTATTGCTTTTTTTATGATCTGGTGTTTCCACCTCCAGTTAGACTTTCACTGGGCAAGTGGGATTAAATCCAGACATGTAACGTTACGATTACTAGTGCAACAACAAACATGACTCACTAGTATATCTCATTTGTTTTTCTGTCCCTCTATCAATGGACTGTGTTGATACTGGTAGCTCCACCCTAACTGTACCATGCCATTGCCCTGTGGAGATGATTATTTCAATAGTCGATTTATCACGATTAATTGTGTCATGCTTCTGGCTCCACCCTAGCCAAACTGTGCTATTATCCCATAGACCTACAATTGTCCTGAACTGGGCCCAGGAATGATGTGGTACTGTCAGTATTTTGGCCGCTTTTGCAGAAGAAAAGCACAAAATCGTGTACTGACACCTGCTGTACTTCTCAGTGGAAATGAGGCAAAAGTAGCCACAGTCTGTCCAGTAAGATCTGAATCCAGCAATCCCACTCACTTTTTCATTCCACTCTTTAACCTCCTGAAAATTTGTTGACTCGGTTGTTGCGCTTAGAGCGCTGGTGATGCCACTAGGAAGCCCGTGGAGAGGTGTAAGGGTTGGCCGAGGAACCCATTATAACTGCTTGCAGTTCCAGTTAGTATATTCATGATCAATGTATTCAGTGTGCTCCATAAAACTTCTAGAGTTGTGGTTTAAAAAGTAGAAAACAGTGAAAGGAATCTTTCTTTGTCATCAAGGCATCCAGGTTAGGCTTGTTTAACTGAAGTTTGTGCACAGCAGGTTGTAGGTCATGTAGAAAATGCCACATTAAAAGCAGAACACATGAAGCAGCCCAACCCTTCAGAATTATTTCTGCATGCGACTCGTCCGATAGTAACCCCATGCTGCATGTGGATGAGTGTAAAGGCGGTATTTCTCTCGTGGGGGATGGGTCTCAGTTTCAGCATCATCAGTGGGGAGGGAAACGTGCGTTTGCTTCCTCTCTGCAACTTCCCCTCCTTCTTTTTTAGGTTTCTGTGTAATGCATGGTGTGAGCTTTTTCAGCCAATCAGGCCGAGCTAAATGAAGATGGGAGGGCAGACTGCCTGGAAGACGCTGGTGAGCTGTCTTGGGTGGGGTAACAGCGGGAGGAGGGACCAACAGAGCCGGCCGGCTGCTAGAGTTTGAAAATGAATGATTTGCTGTAGATATCCTGGTCATTTGTAAGATTAGTGCCACATCTGCTTCATTTAAAAAATAAAATAAAATAAAAGGAGAATAGCGAAAGGGTGGCAATCCTAGAGAAAACGTGTTGGATACAAGCCGAGAAGAGAATCATCATCTAACGATGCAACGTGAGTAGCTGAATTTAAAATTTAAAAAATGTGTGGGTAGGAGGAAGTTCCTTAAACTTGAATAACAAGCTTCATTTTAGCAAATCTGGTTTGGTAAGAAAGTTTTTAGGAATGATTTCTGAAAAAACAGGTTGATTGGTTTTATGAGTTAAGATGATGAACATCCACAGGTTTCGTGCCATAAGCTAATTCACTAGTTTATTTTCTAATACAAATATAAAATTTCACTTATTTTTCTTAGAGTTTTTGCTGCAGTAAAGGTAAATCTTGACTTGATGAGTATTTTATGTGTTTGGTTCGGTCGGACAGCCAACACAGACTCTGTCTCTTTGCTGAATGGGTGTAGCCCAGCCTGCAGAGCTGGATGAATTTTCCATTTTGCTTTTCTGTCTTTTAAGAGCAGAAGCTCATTTGTTAATTAAATCAATTTCTTGCAAACTGATTAGTTTGATCACAAAAAAAAAAGAGGATGCAGAGGCTCACGCCCAGTTCTGTCTGTCAGCAGATCCATCTATAATATGAATTCAGTTGACCTTACTTCAGCCTATTTGGGAAAACAGCCTGTAGTTTTGTCAATTAATCAAAGTGAAACTGAAAATTCTTGTTGAAATTATGTTGTGTTTTGTGGGGATTCCCTCTATTGATTCAATGGGGGTTTTTTTCTATTAGGGTTTCTTCTCTGTTAACCAGGGTCCAAAAATAAAATGTTGTTGCCGCTTCAACTGTTGCTGCCTTTCCCTTTCTGACTGGGACAGCTGCTTCTAAGCTCCACTGTCCTCCATCGTCATAATCCTCTCCCATCAGCAAGACTGCAGCATCTCTACTGGTGTCAGTCTGTACAGGGGGGCGAACTCCACCGGGTGATTCATCCTTAGCAGTAAATCTTTACCCACAACAAGCATAACCTACCTGTATAATGTTTACTCCAGCACAAGATGCCTTAGAATGTGAAATAAATCATTTACATTTCGGTAATTAGATTATTTTAATGTGTTGAAAGATAGTTTGAAGTGGAATTACTCAAATATTTTACAGCTTCAGCTATTAGAGATAGAAACTACTGATCAGTGATGGGCCTGAACCTTCAGAGTCAAATAAAGACAATTAAAAAGTCGGTCTTCTGTCACCTGAAGAACATTTCCAGGATTAAACTACTTATATTCCAGGAAGATCCTAAAAAACTCATCCATTTGTTGTTTATCTTTAGTCGCTCTGATTACCTCAACAGTGTCTTCACAGCTTTGCTTAAAAAATAGACAGCTGCAGCTGATCCAGAGCGCTGCTGCTGGCATTCTCACTAAAACCAAGAAGATAAAGCGCATCACCCCAGTTTTTAAAGTCCGTAAACTGAGACCTTAAAATACTTCACTTAGTTTATAAATAATAGATGGCATTGTAGACCTATTGTCGTTATATCAACCTTCCAGACAACTCAAGTCTTCTGGTTTAAGTCTATTCTTCATCCCCAGAATCAGAACCAAACATGGAGAAGAAAAATTCAGCTTCTATGCTTCACAAATCTTGAACAAACTTCCAGAAAGCTGCAAAACTGCTAAATCATGTCTAAAAAGCCATTTGATTATAGCTTCTCATGGTTAATAATAACCAGCACAGCATTAAATGTAGCCTGTTTTTCAACTGACAGGTTTTCCTTACTAATGTTTCTTACTTATTTGCTTTATTTTATTCTAATCATGTAGACCACTTTCAATTGCCTTGTTGCTAAAAATGCACAATGCAAATAAAACCGTCTTGCGTTGGCCGTAAATCGTCAACCACTGGCCTCCATGATGACCATTTACTGAAGCTTTAAGGCGTTTTTTTTCTCTACCTGTAATAGCTGCAGGTCGCTTTGTTCATTTCAAAGCTAAATGAGAGCTGGAATCTCAAGAATGTATGTGATGTTGAATACGAAGGGCTCAGATGACGGTGGCCGATAATCAGACAGGGCTGCAGCGTTTTTAAAATACAAAGAAGTAAATAAATAAATAAAACAACTATAGCATGCTCATTACTTCTAAATGTTTCACAAAAAAAATTGACATGACCTCTAAAAGTGAAATGAAAGATGAAATAATGATGCAACAACCTGGTTGGACCTTAAACTCTATCAACATTCAGTTGTGTTTAGTTTGGTGACATTTCTCCACCCTGCATCCCAAACTTTCTCCAAATCGCTCAAATTCTGAGGACATTTCTTAGATTTAGTTCACAAGCCAAAACTTTTATTAAGTAATTGCTGAAACTTCACTCTTTATTCCTAACTTTGTAGCACACACTTAAAGGTTTTGGACTGAATCTGTTATTTGGAGACACAGCACATTCTCCTTTAAGAGTCGAGGAAAGTTTAGATGTGGATATTTTTGTTGGAAGAAAACATAATTCAGTGTTGTAATCCTGAATATAACAAGAATCTGTTGTCACATGGTGAACACAATCAGCGCTTGTTAGTAGATTCATCCAGCTCCTTCAGTGTTGCTGTTCTTGGCAGCTTCCCTGACTAGTTTCACTCTTGTCGAAACAATTTCCAGTTTCTGTAATGCTAGCATAACATTTTTTGTGCAATAGGATCCTATTAACCCTTTGTAGCATGCCTACAACATGTGGCTTCAACTAAGTATCAGTTGTGTACAACCAGATTATTGCAACATTTTAGCCATTATGTGCTTTTCTGTAATAAGAAAAGTTTAACTTGGCTTATACTGGACATGTTTCATGTTCTACATGGAAATTATTTATCAAAATGCGTTTTATTGAGACCCAACGTACATTTTGGACTAATTCTGAATCGTACACTTAAAGCAATATTTGCCTAAAACACCTCAAAGAGTTTTACAAGTTTCACTAGATATAAACATTGATCTAGTTATCAATGGTTAGTTCTAAACCTGCTGATATTGTCATGAAATGTGTGGTTGGTGGTGGTGAGGAGATGACGCAGAGAACCCAGGTTATGGTGAAGATGAATTTAATGATGAAGATAACTCATAGAGTCCAAGTCAGGCAGCACGGCAGGAACAACTAGTACGCAGCTAACAACCGGTAGCAACTGACAGCATCAAACAAGAGCGTCGAAAACCAGGACTTAAACAGTTCTACTGGAAAACAGACTAAACAGGAACCAGCACAAACCAGGACTTGCCAGTTCCACTGGAGAGTGCCGACTACATTAGACATAGACAACGACAATACACACGACGAGGATCCGACCCAGACAAAGACAACAGGTGGGGTTAAATACACAGGGAAGGTAATCAGGGAACGGGATACAGCTGGGAGCAATCAACAGGGAAGACACAGAGACAGACTCACAGGACTACACAGAAAAACACAGATCCTAACAGATATCTTCTTTACATTAGTTGTTAAAAGGCATTTTAACAAGAGAAAATCACGAGTAAGCAGCTGGCTGAAAAGGGCTACTTCTGTTTATCACTGCTTTCTAAAAGGACAATCAGCTATTGTAGCTGTTTATCATAATTATTGGAAAAACAACTAATATATAGTATAGATAAAATTATTCTGACTGTGATAATCAATATGTCACAGTAGTTTAAGCAAATACAGTGATACCATCAAAATGTAGTGTTTTTACTCAAGGTTATCATCCCGTAGTGATGTCATACCGACCCATGACTGATTAGGTTTCTAGGTCACGCCCAAGACCCAAACAAAGCCAGAGACTGAAGACGCAGGAGGGGGTTGGGGTCTCAGTTCACCCCCTCATGTCTGCCTCCTCCCTCATCCGTCTACGGTTCACTCTGCAGGCTGAACTGGCTGGACGGGGTCATTTAACATCCCCAAATCTGAGCGTTCCCCAATGTGAACCATTAAAAGTGGAAGCGGGCCTCAAATGTTTTGATCAGCGCCAATTTGGACACAGTTGTTGGTTAAAATGTTCAGTTTAACCGTTTGTGGTTGCCTAATGGAGGCCTAGTTTGAGCAAACTATGTTTGTTCCTGCTCCGTCTGACCTCTGGAGTCGTTTTCTTTCCCATTACCCGAGCCTAATTGTTCCTGACAGGCGAGCCATGATAGGCTCCTGCCACAACAAGCAGACGAAGCTGCTGGAACGTGTTGTCAGCCCCCTTAAATAAACAGGTCAAAGATGTGATAAGGGAGCAACAACAGAGGGTTGAACGAGGGAAAAAGGGCGCGGATGTGACCGCGTTTATTGTTGGGGAGTATTAGACGCAGTTCCTCTCAGGATGCAACAATAAAGCCGATAAACAAAACTTTAAAGGGCCTGTATTCAATGTTTCAAACACTGCTAAAGCTCTAACCTTTGACTATTAGAGAGTAAAAATAGTTGTCTTTGTTTGGGCATCTTTATGCTATTCAGCTACAGCTGTGGTCAGAAGTTTAGTTTTTATTATGTTTATTTTAACCTTTTTTTGAGTCCAAACTTTGAGCGTTGAATCTGTTATGGGTTTGTTTTCTAAACTACAGGGTGAAAATTACACCAGAACCCCTCACTGACACTTGTTTCTTCTTTCTAAAGCCATGGCATAACCCTGGATATTTGGTCCTCATTATCAGAAATGGTGGAGTTCATTTCATTTGAACTCCAACTTCAAAGCATTATTCTAATTTTTAAGACAATTAAGAGTTGGAAGCTTAAGGTTAGCCTACTTCATCCATTCAAAATCTTTGTTTGCATTAAAGTAGTCACGATACTGAAGTTTTAAACTCAGTACTGGTACAAAAACAAACACTGGATGTTAAAAATACATCACCTAAAAACGTCACCTCCCTGATAACATCTAGGATAAATTATAACTTTAAATAATGGTAGTAATAGGGTTATTTTCTTACACCATAAATTAGTCCCTTTGAGTCAGTTGTGCTTATCTTTGATGTGTCACTGTGTGCTGCCATTTGTCAATATGCTCTAGATAAAATAAATATGAGTACTGACAGATATATAAAGGGTCATTCCAAACTTGTGTTTCAAAGTTGTGTTGCTGAATACTAACTAATAGTAGGCCCTCAGCATTACCCTGCCACCACCAGTTGGTACTCTGTTCGTAGGTTTGAAAGCCTCACCTTGATGTCATCGTGGCCGAATACTTCAGTCTTTCCCTTATCTAATAATGAAACGTTTCTCCACAAGGCATTTTTGTCGTCCATGTGAGCAGCTACAAATTTCAGCCGATTCGGCGTTTCCTTGGTTGTTCTGGAACATCATAACCCATTTCCTTTCATCGTACAGTTTGGGTTTGATGATTGAAACATGGAGACACAAAGCAAAGTAGCATTAGAGAACTTACATTTATGGCCTATTCAAAGCCCTGACTTCAGCCTTACTGAAACTAACGATTTTAAATAATCTGCAGTATTTGTGACATGAAGAGAGATCAAATGTCCAGAAGCTGATTTGGTTTCTGCGACTTGCTAGAATTTGTTTTGCATATGATCTTCCCTCTCTGTACAAATAACAGTAAGAAAAAAACAAAGTTTCATCTCTGTTTCCCTCTCTGATAAATAATCCAGCTGATGTGTGTTTCATGTGCTCCTGTAGCTGCTTTTCACTGCGTTTAAAGCTTAAAGAATCGTGACGTTTGTCTCCTGCAGTGACCGCGTGCGAGTCCAGCGCCATGTCCGAACCCGTGGTGGTGGAGCCTCCTAAAGCAGGTGAAGCGATACAGTCCTGTGGTGCAGGAGACAGCTCAGCCTCCCTTGATGACGGCATTGGAGACACGGCAAAGTATGTTAACACGATGCGTTACGATGGCTAGCTTAGGAAGTTACATTTAAAGTAATGAGACAAAAACGTTTGTTATTCCTTTTGTTTAACTTCAGCTGCCAGTGGATTGTTTGTATAGTCTGCACAGGCTTATTATTTTCAAAAAAAGTTCCCCAAGGTTGACTTCTTGGCCCATTAATTATTTCTTTCTTTATACAGCATATAACCTGGGACAAAACATTCTGAATTTGTCCTTTTCTGCAGTGTTTTTTAAAGCCAGAGAAAACAAAATGTAATTTCTTTATGTCTTCAAGTAAAGCTATTTTAACAAAAAAACTCGTGGTTCGTTTTCAAATGGGGCTGCAACTAACTTATTTAACTTATTCCTCTTTTTTTAAAAACTGGAACTTACTTGCCTGCCATGTGGGAATGTTTTAAATTTGTAAATATTCTACATGCTTGTCAGCTCAGAAGCCATTCAGGCTGAAACTCTTCATCATCACTTTTAACAGAAAGAAGGAAATCAGAATCTTGTTTAAAATACTTCCTGAAATGGTTGTAAGAGTGAAACTGTCTTTGGGACTTCAGAGCATAATTTGCATAACTTTGCATGTATTAATTAAGTCCAAGCTGACTGTATTTATTTTGATCTTTAAATACAGATCAAAATAGTGGATGATGACAGCCGCTGGTTCCCCCCCGATGACTTGGCACCGTTTTTCAGATTTACCCCGCTTCCTTTGGGAATTAACTCACTCATAAATGTGTTTTCCTCCTTCCTGTTCCTCAGTGAGTCATCAGAGGAAGAGTCCACCGGGGAGAAGGAGGAGGAGGTCGCTGCTGGAGATGCCGCCGCTCTGCAGAGCTCAGACACACCACAGGGTGAGGCCCCAAGGAAAACCGCCACGTGTTTGTTGTCTGAGCAGCTGGATTTAAAAGACAAGATTAAAAAATAGCTTTTAGGCTTTACTATAATCCTGGATGCAGTTATTCTGTCTGCTCTTGTTGCTGAACTCAGCATTTGTGAGCGCACGTCTTTTCCTGAGGAAGCAGAAAAAACATTCTTTGGCAGAACAAACGCTCCTTCCTCTCTCCTTCCCTTAAACGGTGACTTACTTTCCTGCTAAAGTCACTGACGGAAAAGTGTTCCCTTCGTTATCTGTAAAGATAACAATAAACTACATGTGTATCCACTAGAGCATGTCTTATCTTACTTTTAGACAGTTTTATTCTGTGGAAATTTATTCAATAGACCCAACCTGCGTCTGCGTAAAAACAAGAGCTAACAGATTTTTTTTTTTCCATGAGAAAGTTATTCACCATCCAGCTTGTTAGAGGAACTGATAAGCAGCTGCTGTTCCTGTAATAAATCCACCATGTTATCCCACTTTATATTCAAAACATCCTGCAGATCGTTAGGTTACATCCCATCTGGTCTGTCACACTGTAAACTCCCAAAGGGGCGACAAGCCGCCTCCTAGATTAATTATTAAAATCCTTTGGGTTTTATGGCACCCAGAAGACGATGCTAGCTCCTGCTGCTGCACTAATTTGGTTCTAGTGATTGTTCTCCAGTTGCTGCTATGTGTTATTCGAGTACGATAGTAAAATTATAGCTTAGATACGACAGACAGTTCGATGGATAATCAGAATAATAATCTCTAAATGTGACGTACACTCAGGTTTCTGCTAAAGTTTAAATCAGTGATCAGCTGACATTTTTGTGTCCTGTCAGTTTTAGCTTGCGGTTCACACCGTATAAATAGACACACATCCCGTTTTCTCTGTGTTTGACCTTAAATCAGACTAAACTTGTCATGTTCAGTCAGGATTAAGAAAGTTATTTCCTCTCACTGAATGCCAGAATAAAACTTATATTAAAACTCAGATTCGGGCTGCATCAGGAGGCCAGTTCTTGTTGAGCTGACACAATTTGTGCAGTTCAAAAGTTTATTATAGAGCATGCTTTGAGATGTATGTAAACGTCTGACTTTGGAAACCATTTAGAAAATCTTCTTCTAATTAATCTGCCGTTGAGTGAATCCAAACGGACCTTAAAACACCTGAGCACAGCAGAGGTTCATTAGATCCAGCATCTACTCATAATACCCTATGTACAAGACGTATCTGTGTTTTCATATTGGCAGGACTCAAAAGTTTTAATTATAATGAATTAATCGCATCTTAATCGAAAACCATATATCGACAAAATCAGTAATATTTTCAATCCAAAAACCCTTTTTGATGCAAAATTATAGAATAAGTATAAATATGAACTCACTGACAAACATATTTGTCGTTTTTAATCTGTTATTTAGGATATTTAAACATCAGATTAGTGTATTTATGTTATAACCATTCAGCTTTTTAGTGTTTCAGGAAACCCTGATCATTCATGTAAGTTCCTTAAAGCGTCTGTGCTGCTGCAGCATTGAGAAGCTATTTTAGTCTTGAGTAGCTTCGCCGATCGGCTACCTCCTTTTTGCCCAATCAGATAATTTTTTAAACCTAAAATTAACCCCCACTGGGGCAAATGAAGCGGCTTTATCGTCCACTGCTGTTGTGCGACAGATTCATGGACGTACCAGAAACACAACACAAAGGTTCCATCTCTTGTATGTAAACTAAAAAGAGATTAATTGTGTTTTAATTTTTCAAGCGTTAAAAAATTTGTGTAATTAAGTAGACACAGGTCCTACTGTTTTTTTAACAGCAGAATAACAAAACTGCATGTAGAAACTGAATATTTTTTATCTTAGAAATCATGAAGGTCTCTCCTGAAAATGAGGCCTTTTTCCTCGACTGACTGATTTTGTCGTCAGACCTCTGAGCGTTTTCTCTCTCTGCGTGTTTCAGTGAACGCCCAGCGCCCAGACTCCCTGTCCGTGCCGCCGTCGTCAGAGCTCCGTCTCTGGACGACGCAGCGCGACGGAGAGGTGAAACTCCGGGTCGAGGGCTCCGGTGAGGCTGCAGATGCTCTGACTGTGAACCAGATGTTTGCTGCAGCTGCAGATCGATTCAGTGACTTCACAGCTTTGAAATGGAAGGAGGGCGAGCAGCAGAAATCCCTCACCTACAAACAATACTACCAGGACTGCCGCACTGCTGCAAAGAGCTTCCTAAAGGTTGGTTTCATTTTCTTTTTTCTAATCCAATCAGAACACCTTCAGGGAGAAGAGGTCTTGTTTATCCGCATTCCTAAAACTAAAAACACATTTTAGTTCAGTTTGTTTGGATATACCCTGCATGGTTCAGGTGTTAAACTCTCCTGAATTACAAAATGAATTTTAAAAAATCCAGATTACTTTTAGTTCCAACTAAATGTATCCCTCAGTTAATGTCTTATTCTCTTGTATGTTTTATTTTTGGATAATTAACAGTTAATATAAATTTGTTTCCACATCCACTGGCATTCTGACATGATTTTTTTATTTTTAAACAAACCTTCAGCAGATATTAGCAGCATAATATTTACATGATATTTAGTTCTCTGCAATGTAAGACTTCATGAATTTAAATGGCTCATTTAGGCATCACTTTACATGTCGTCATAGCAACGGATCACATCACAGTAGCATGATGATGATGATGATGCAACAGAAGATTATTTCAGAAAAATCAATTATTCTGACAATTAACTGAATAATCAGATACAAATATTGGCACATTCTGCTGATTTTTCATTTAACCACTTAAGTCTTTTTAATTTGCTCAATATTAGAAATGCATTAAAAGACGCACATAAAAAAATTACTTTTTGGCATACAAAAATAAGTAGCCTAAAATGCAATAATGCAGTAAAATGGCGTTCTAATAGTGAACATTTGATCCTTTTTTAGCAAAGGACGAATCTGCAGCTAAATAAATACTGTCTGATTATTTTTTTGGATTAATAATTAATAGCAAATGGTCCTTATATATACACTGCTCAAAAAAATAAAGGGAACACTCAAATAACACATCCTAGATCTGAATGAATGAAATATTCTCATTGAATACTTTGTTCTGTACAAAGTTGAATGTGCTGACAACAAAATCACACGAAAATCATCAAT